GGGAGAGAAGTATTTGCCCTCGGCGACGTGCTGTTTCCCACTGAGTCTTCTCTCTTCCTTTCTCTCATCCCTCTCCACCTCTACCTTTTCTCATAATGGCAGAATGACTTCTCCAGCCGTGAAGCCAAGCTGCGTAATATAACACGTCCAAGTGCAGGCAGATAGGTGTCCTTGTCCTATTTCGGGGGTAATTGTTGAAGTGATGTCCTCTGATTTCTCTGACTGCTCTGTGGTATCCTTTCTCTGTCACAGACACCATGGCTGGGGTCACAGTGGAGCAGGGCAAGGTGAAAGAGACGCCAGTGGTCACAGCCCTACTTGCATTTTTATCTTCAGTGTTACTCACTGGATGGTCTTTAGGGTACGTAGTTCCTGCAGAGTCCCTAGGCTCCCTCCCAGGCCTATTTTCATTCAATAAGACAAAAGCAATTCTTCTTTGTGGAGAAAAAGAAGTCTCTTTTGTGGACTGAACTCTCTCCACTCCTATTCAGTTTCCACTGAGCATGCCTAGGAATGTGAAGCAGAGGTCTCCAAAAGAGAGCCGGGAAGGCTTAGGGTCACGCCATTGCAGCCGCCTATCTTTGTGTCCCTAACCTGACTTTCTTCTTGGTCTGTGTTTGTGCTCCATACAGTACTCTGGGCTCTTCCTGGGATCCCTTCTGCAGTGTTCAATGTCCTCTTTAGACAACCCATTCATACTGGAGTCTAAAATATAAGGCTGCAATCAATTGAAATGTGACCCCACTCAAGGCTATTTTCCACTTTAAAAAAAACATCAGAGGTAAGATCCCCGTGGTAGCATGTCAGATGTTACCCAGAGAAAGGCTAGAGGGTACAAAGATGATTTTAAACTATGTCAAGGGGAGTCTTCTTTTGCTCATTTTACTACTTAGAAGTGAAGAGGGAAGACACTGGGTGAATCGAACTGAAATTATTCTTGTTCCTTAAGTCTAGTGCTGAAATATCTAGCACACTAACAGCCTTTGCCTCCTCCTCTGCTTTTCAGGGGAAATGCCCTGTGTCCTGATTTGTGATGAATTGCATGGGCTGCGTTAAGTTCTCAATGCTGCTCTACCTTTTTTTTTTTTTTTTTTTTTTTTTTTTTTTTCACTCCGGCCTGCTTTGTGCAACCCTAGAGAAAGGCTGGAAGCTCTTGTTATCTTATGTAATCACTCTGCAGTGATAAAGTTACAACCACAGAAATGGAGTCTTTTGGATGGCTCTCTTCACTGTCCTTTAATGTGTTTTAGAACTCAAATGACACGGTGTATAGGCTGTGTTCTCTGACATCTAGAATTTTACAGAAATCATGTTTCAGTTGATTTCAGTGGGAATTGGGGTAGCAAAAGGAACTACCATTCTCAAAGGCCCATAAGCATGTCTACAAGCAAGTTTCCAAGCTGTAAAGATGCCTGTTCTGGAAGATTCGAAAGTAGGTTTCAAGCAAGGCAATGAAGAGTAAGACAGGCATGGGTGGCTTGAGTGAGAAATGTCTTTTGCTCCTCTGCTGATAGAGCTACAGGAAGCTATAGACCTTGAGGGGGTGGAGCCTGGCTGGAGGAAGTAGGGCCTGTGGGGATGAGTCTAGAATTTGTAGTTGTGCCTTCAGGCCTGCTCTTTGTTTTCTGACTACAAATATGACTGAGCATTTCCCTTCATAAAGCACAAATCAACATAAACCCTTCCTGAAGTTGTGTTTGTCAGGGATTTTGTCACAGTAAGGAGCAGAGTAACCACAGCTGGTGTTGCCCCAAAAGAGGGAATGCAGCTCTTCTGCCTTAAGTAGGTTTAGTTTTCCACTGGTGGCTTATGAGCATGAAAATCTGAGTAGGAAACTTTTACCAGAATCAGTTTGTTTCACACTCTTTTTGTAAATAAAAAAGGGGGTTGAAATGTGACTCTTAGTTTGAATTCTTCAAGGAACACAGATTCTCCTTAGTTATTTATCCATCTAGTTGTTCATGCGGAAAACATTGCCTGAGTGCATTTGGTTGCTGCCACCATCCCAGTAGTGGAGAACTGATTGACGGTGCAGGGTGAGGCCAGCTGGGAGTTTCAGACTGGCATCCAGGCTGATGGTGGAGATGACAATTCGGATGAGAGGTTCTCAATCAGGTTTCTATTGCTGTGGTAAACAGATGGCATTTTTTTTTTTTTTTTTTTTTTTTTTTTAGATGTTTTCATTGCTTGGCCTTGTTACCTTTGAGCTGTACTAAGGAGTAACACTTGTGTTAGAGTAAGCTGATCACTTCATAGTAACCAGAAAGCAAAAGGAAAGAGACAGGAAGGGGCTCAGATCTCAGTCTTCTTCCATGCCACACTTGCAAGGACATGATTTGTTTTGTCTAGATCCAGACTCTTAAACGTTCCTCCAGCTCACATAGCATCACAGGCAGGTGACACCAACCTTTGGACATATCCCTTCTGGGTACCATTTAAAATCCAAACCATAACACTGGTAAAGTATTGATTTTGTTGGTAAATCTTCAAATTAATCTGAATTAATTAAAAATATATGGTAATATGCTAATTCAAGTGATAGGAGATGTCATTCTGTAAATGTTTCTCATGCTGGTTAATGAATAAAGCATTGTTGGCCAATAGGAAAGGAGATAGGAGAGACTAGGAGACAAGGAGGAAAGAGGAAGGAGATAGGAGGAGTCAAGATGGAGAGCCTGGAGAGAACAGAACTGCCATTCCTCCACTCTCGGTAAGACCACGTGGAAATACATAGAAATGGGTTAATAATTAAGACAGAACTAGCCGATAAGAAACTAGTAACAGGCCAACAGGATTATATCAAATACAGAGTCTCAGTGTGTTAATAGGGGCTGGTGCGGCGGCAAGACAAGACCAGAGGCGGCGGGCAGAAAAACCTATACTTGTTACATTCAAGGAATAGAATAATAATATTAGAGCTCATAAAAATCTAGGAATTCCTGTCATAAGAGGTCAAAGTTACAAAAGGGGTCTTATGATCAGGGAGAGAATAGAAAGTATATCTGTGGGCGTATATTTAGTATACAACCCAACTGAATGACTGACATCATAATCATCATCATCATCATCATCATCAATGTTCCTGGACTAAATAGCTGGATTTGTAAGAAGAGACAGACCCAAGTCTTGCTGTTATAGAAAACAGTGGGATGTGGAGCTCTTGGGAGACCATTTAATTCAGTCTTTTCATTACAGATAAGAAATCCAGTTCACAGAGGCTAAGCCATTTGCAGGAGGTACACCAAAGGAATCATAGAGGTCCTGAGTGTGGACCCAAGATGTTTCATTTCTAGGGCAGGGATATTTTTCTTACATGCAACAGCTTCCCTAGAAAGACTTGGAAATAAGTTAGTGGAATTTAGATGACTACTAAAAAGAGGGATTTTTTTAAAGTTCTTTCAGTCTATAATGGATATTTTAGAAAGCCAAATATCTGATTGATTATCAGATTAATTGACCACAAGAAGGTCTATGCCAACATTAGCAATTGCTCTTCACATACTCACCTTCCAAAAATAATTTTGGTTAAATCTGGCTCTGGGATACAAGTTATTTTAACATGTGATTTATATTGTTATTCCTTTTGTATTTATAACTGAGAAATAGAGTCAGTTTATTTAGGACTATTAAAATGAGACTTTGCAAAGGCTAAGAGTGGCTGGTTTGTGAGCAAAACCACTGCGTATTACTCACCAAGTGCCAGAAAAGTTTTAAAAAAGTATTAAAAACTAAATGAGCAGTCTCATAATTTTTAAGAAAAACCTTCTTTTTCTTATGTGCATTTGTGGTGTGCGTGTGCATACTCTCTCGTGTGTGCACTAGTCTGCTAGCTGGCTCTGAGGATTCCATCTCTGTCTTTGTAGAGATGGAACTAAAGATGGACTGCAAAGCTCATCTCTCTTCCCCGTGGGTTCTGGGGATCCTAACTCTAGTACCCATGCTTGCATGGCAAGCGCTTTAACCATTGAACCATTCTGCCTCCCAACAGACACATCTTGGAACAATAACTCATGTTCTTGTTATTGGAGGTCTTAATAAGTTGAATGGGATTTGAAAAGGTTCTCACTCTTCAACTCCAAATGAGTGAAGTAAGCAGCAGAAAGACAAAATATCGTAAAACCAATGAACTCATTTATTGCTTTTTAGATATTTATTTTAGGTAATGAGGAATTTTTTTTTTTTTTGCCTCTGAATTCTAACTGCCCCAGATAAAATAACCAACATATTTGCATATTTAGCTTTAATTTGCTTTACTCATAATTTGAGTTTTTTGATGCAAAATGGTTCATGAAAAGTTGCAATAAAAGTTCACTTGAAAATAATCAGTATTATTCAAAAAGGAAATCATATATATTAGAAATGAAAGGTTTTTATATACAATTACACATAATTGTCTTTAAAATTGTCAAAATTATTTTAAAAGGTTGAAGTTTATAGTTCATTAAATTGCTATTTTATTATTACATTTTTGACTAATCAATATATCCAAGTGTTTACTTAAATTACAAAAAAATATAATATAAAGCCATGAGACTGACCTTCGAAAGTAGCACAATACAATCTCCATAATAATGTTAGTGGCAACACTTTGTGGCTATTACCAGGCTATGACCTGTCTTCTGAGGACAGTTTTAAATGTTTCTTTTGTGACTACCTTCAAAAATGTATGAGCTTTACAACTTAGTTTCTTGACAAGATCTTTTGATCTGGCTTGCAATAGAATTCTAATTTAGTCACCCATACATAATACTAACCAGAATTTGAAATGCTGAAATTGTTTTTTATTAGATTTCATTTCATGAAGGTTTGACACCCATGAGAATATTCAAGCAAATGATAATTCAGTTTTTGATAATAATTCTGGAATTTGAAAAATTATAGTAATTATAATGTAGAATTTTTTACATGCCAATTTTTTAAAGGCTAAATTAGGGCTCTACAATTTAAAAAAAGTATAGGATAATGTTTTATAGGTCAAAAAATTCATATCAGAGACCATCTTGAAGAATTGTAACTGTTAGCTTTTAATTTGTACATGTGTTTTAGTATTATAAACACTCAATTCTCCTATGTTTCTCTACATGAGCCACTGTAGTAAAAATTGTACTTAGATGTTAGTTAGTTCATTATAAAAAATATTATTAACTAGCACCAGGATTACTTGAAAGTAATTGAAGCATTCATAGGAATGTAGAATACAGGTTAAGCTTCTAACTATACGGGAGAAAAAAAAAGTTCAGTAAACAATAGCAAGTGCATGTCTTACGGTCACAGCCAGATAAACCCCAGTCATAAAACATTTGCTGGGAAACTTAGAGAGGAAACCTAGACAGCTCATTTTACACTGAATTCCAAAGAAGCTGCAAAAGTTCTCACATGTGGCAGTCTAATATTACAAAGAAATTTACTCTGTGATACCTATGCTTAATTTATATAGGAGATCAATAAGATGACAGATGTATTAAAAACAATTGGATTAGAGTAACACTTGCATTAGGTACAAAACATACAGCAAAATGAAACATCTTGTTAAATATGATTGCAGGCTAATAATGTCTCAGAGGAACATGTTTTCACATTTATTTGTCTTATTATGTTTGATAGTTACATAAGTATATGAGTTTGTTACTACATGATGTTTCTAGAATGTTTGTATATATTACCTCTCTAGCCTTATGACGCTATCCATAAAAGTAATTTTAAAATCATTACTCCTAGAGTAAAAGAAAACAAGAAATCCCATACTTTTATGAGCAGTTATGCACAAAATTACTGTAGTATTTGAAGAAATATATGTTTTCTACTAAAGCAAAACTTATCTGTTCTTACACTGAGTGGTGTCAACACTTGTTATAAAATTAGATATGGAATCCTTGGCTTTTAGCTGGGAAATCATTATTTGTTAAGATCCATCAGTGAGCGTTTATTTATGAACATGGGTCCCATCTTGGCAGTCTTCTTGATTATAACAATTGGGAAGTGAACAGAACAGCAGTACTTCAGTAGTAAAGTATCCAACTATCTGGACCTGCCTGGGGTCTCAGTCATCAGTCGCGGCTCAGTTGCATGCTGACAGATGAGAAACAGCGTCCTACACTTGTACACAGTGGGCCAATGACAACATCCATCACACTCTTCCATATTGTCTGCACCGAAGGCAGGACCATCAGGCAGGTCTTCACAAAAGGCATTAGGATCCTGGGATGGGGGAAGATAAAAGTATCGTTAATGTTACCACTGACAATTAGTGTTATGGAGGGGACTGACACACGTACATGAACAAATACAATAGTGGCTTAACGTACTTTCATATGGTTCAACAGTTCAAAAGAAATAGATGGACAATGGCTAGAGTGATAAGAAGTGCAAGAGGTAAGCTGTTTAAAAAATAAACAGGCACAATGATGATAAATGTTAACATTCTTTCTGCTGGTTGAATGCTAGTGGAAACGATAAAACAAAAATAAACATAGCAGTTTATTTCTCTGCCAGATCTCTGCTTTTAAACATTAACCTGCTAGCACTTCCTGTTTCTCTGAGGATCTACTTCCTGCCTGCCTTTCCTGTGGCCTCTCTCTTTGCCCCTCCTCTTAGCCAGGCTGGGTGGGAGCCTCCTGGCTGTATTCTAATGTACTGGAACAAGCCTCTTCATTTTCAAATTTATCAAAAAGCATGGTAAACAGATACTTACATCTCTGTCTTTCCTTCTAGAATATATGCTGAGCTTCACTTTCCGTTAAGATTGGAATGGAAATGCATTTAGTTTTCTGTACAGCTTCACTTTGTCATCATCATTTATGTCATTAACTGCTTCATACTATTATTTTTCACAGACATTGCACTTGCCAATAAGGGCTGTGTGGTGTAGTTCACAAAAGAATATCCCCACACTTCTGTATATTTCTTCTCAAGATAGCTTACTATTCTTATATTGCCCAGAAAGACTCTTGTGTAATCTGAACGGTGTTTGCTGTGAGAATGAAAAGTATTGTGAATTTTGGCAACTGGGGAGGTCTTAGTAGAGTCTTTACTACTACCCAGGTAGAAGGTGGAGCGTGAAGTTGGCTTCCTTGGTTTGTTCTTAAAATGCGACTTAACTAAACAAGTTGCATTCAAACGAAAGGATCAGTAATGGTGTGTTCAATGGATGTATTTTTAGAACACTGAATTATTTATACTGACCATCTACATAGATTATATTTATGGTATGTTTTGTTGCAAGTTCTAAATATTGGAAACAATTGCATATGAAAATTAGTTAGGGGTGCTGTTGAAATAAATGGCTGACTATAAGTTGAGTGACAGCAACTATTCACTTCTTATTCCACAGGCTTCCCATTCAATGTCAGTTCCACACATTGCCACAAATTTAAAAGAGACTGGAAATCCTACAGAGCCAGTTATCGGGGCTAATAATTATTGCATGTCTCTGTGATGTCCACATGGTACTGTCAAATAATAAATAAAAATAGACAGACCCAGGTTAAAATCAAAATAAATAATGAAAAAAAACCCATAACTAAAATAACCTCAGATTAATAGAAGTCCGAAAGTTTGTTAATCAGATCCAATTCACTTTGAGTAAATTGTGCTCTCCACTCTTCTTTAGGCAAATCTTTTTCTGTCTTCATAACTCTTATATCTCTGGGCTCTAAAAGAGATTTAAATATTTTTGATTCAACAAAGTCCAGCTTCCTATGTTTGAAGATTTCAGCTCATTGGACATGATGAACACATTTTCTTCAAGTTATTCTCTCTTTGCGTCAGAGAACTCAACAATACTTGAATATAAAATTTGAGTTACATTCTCAACATTGTGAATCATTACTCTTCTAAAACTACGTAGTTGAGACTGATGATAAATGGCTCAACATAGTCAACCAAATGCTTCTTTGGTTGCAAACTCCATAACCTACAGACTCTGTATGCTGACAGTGGATAAGCAGCCTGAGACCAGGAGTTGTTGTTTGTTTCTATAACTATATTTATAGCAAATGGATGTCTATTTATTTGCATCATATTCTAGGAAAATAAGAGTATAGATGCCCCAGTCAGTTTTCTTTGGTTACAATGCATTTATTTATAGTGATCTTATTTGCCACATGGTGAGTGGATCTGACTGAGGATCAAACAGAATCATCTCACAAATCTCAAAGACCCGAATATTTGACTGAAGGCCCAATATAACTAGACATTTATATTTTAGTTTTTGTTATTTATTTGGGCAAAGAATCCAAAGTCTAGCTTTGGTGTATAGCTGTAGTTCCAGCTACTGGAGAGGCTAAAGCATGAGGATTCCTTGTGTTCAGGAGTTCAAGGCCAACCTGGGAAACATGATGAGCTGTGTGCTCACAACCAAACAAAACCTTTAATAAACCACCAACCAAATGTGCCCCATGCCCCAGACAGTAACCACAATCAAGTGATATTGTGACTTGGTTTAAAGTCTCTTTTTAAAGTTTTCTCAACTTTGACTAAACAATGAGCAATCCCTTGTTTAAAAAACAACTAAAAATAAATAAATAAATAAATAAAGAAACAAAACCTCAAGCTTGCTCACACAAGTCTAGTTTTCCATAAAGCATCCCATTGATCCAGCCTATCTGTCAGGCAGATGTAATCAATTAATGATAAAGCTATTTCATCACTGTGCAGAGTAACGGTGAAGCATGGAGTCACAGCTACCTGATGACAACTATGTGACAGTTAAATATTAATGTCCCACATGAATGCGATTTGAAAAACAAGCCGAAGTTAAATAATACATATCATGTGGCTAAAAAGAAAGGCGGGATGATGATTCACAGGTGGAAGCCAAACACAAAACTCCTCCCACCCTTGGGAGAGCAGGGTGGAAAGAAGCATCGTTTGGGCCATTGCCGTATTGTTAATATCTTTCCACCATTTGGCAAATGAAAAATTCCCCTTTTTCCAATTCTTCAACAAAAGGTGTGAGAAGACCTATAGTATCGTCAATAAATCTGTACTCTGTACTTCCAAAGAGCAGTGAAGCCAGCATATCACAATACGTGATGGAGCCTTTGCTTTTTTCGCATTTTTGAAAGGGGAAAAAGAACTGGCTTAGACGTGCCATTGGAGGCTTCAGTTAATTAGGAATGTCCGGTTGTGTGGATCTGCATTTACATAAAGGCAGAGGGTTTCTCTTTCTGGCAAACTTTTGGCACTTTGAACATGACCGCTTACGACCCCGAGTGATTAAATTGGTGTTCTTTGTTTATCCTTTGGCCAGCTAAATTTATGTTTATCTTTTACAAGACTTTTCTTTCAGATTTCTTTCCCTCATAAAGTAACCTCTGTTTCCCAATTTCTCCATTAGTGTTCAATGGTGCTTTCTCATCATTCAAATCTGTATCTAAATCCCCCTCCCAGGCAATAGGCAAGTTGAAGAAAATTTTGCATACTTGCCCAGCAAGACTTTGTGTGCAGAAGTAGCTAGCTAACAGTAGCTGCAGTTAGCTAGAGACTAATGGATGTGATGGATTTGATTGCTCCTAACAGTGAACAAGGAGAATATATAGGGGTGTGGCAATGCCATATAACATGAAGAATTATATGGTGGCATCTGTGGTTACATCTGTTACAGGGTCAGCTTGAGGAGTCAACCTGAGAACTATTGTGACACTGTGAATGATTCTTTGAATAAAGTGGTTAACCTTTAGTGTAAAAGAATTTATTGAAGGGATATATACTCTTTCCCTTAAGAAGAGTTTGAGTGCTTTAAGATGTTCTCTAAAATTTATTATGCATTTTGGATGCGCATAATATTACTCACAAACATCCCGCCAATGTTGGTTGGGTTTCTGTATTTCTTTTCCTTGTAACTAGATGCCATATTCACTTGTGATATTGAAGAGATAATGCAATGGCCTTATTTCATTGTTGCATTTCCTTGGGTTTTCTTTCATTCATCCATGTTAGGTGTGCAACACCATCACTGTAAACACTTCCCATCCCCTGCTTCCATTATTACCATTCACCAATAGCAAAGCTTGAATAGCCCTGGCCACAGCTCTCTTTACCAAAGCCTGCCATTCTTGTTTGGTCAGACTGTCAGTGGTGTTCTGCTCTGAGATCACACTTGTTTCTTGTTTTACCCAAGCACAGATGGTGACCGAATAAAAGGCAATGAAAGAAAGAAAAGACCTGCCCAGAACCACAGGCACAAGTCACAACAGAGCCTTGAGAGAGCAGCCTGTGGCAGGAAGCAGCCTTCCCGCCCCCCCCCCCGCCCCCCCACTCAGCTCAGCCTTCTGTATGGAAGGAAAAATCACACCCAGGAAAGAGGCTTTCCCTTCCTTCTGTTTAAACTCTCAGCTATTATTCTAAAGGACTATTATTCTAAAGAAAGCACACTGCCTGTCCCTTCAAACTTTCTCAGGTCTCGCTACTGCTTGGGAAGGAATGCAGACATTCTCTGCAAACTGGCCTGGGGGGGGGGGGGGGGGGGAAAGAAACATCTGTATGCTCCAGAAGGCAGATCCACCCCTTGTCCCCTCTCACCAGATGTGAAGACAGCTGAGGGTAGCAAACAGGATCCCTGTCACGAAGGCCAAGGGGATGGCCAGAAACACCGTCAGGAACTTGTAGATCACATATTTGCTGATTTCAAAGAGGGCATGGCTGCAGATCCACACTTTGTCAAAGGAGTGTGTAGTCTCAGGTTCTGCAATCAGATCCTCGAACCCTAGCTGCAGAGACAAGACACAGGGACCCAAGCTGTCACCCAATCTGTCTGGAGGGGCAGTGGGAGCAGAGGCACTATACGCAGGGAAGTGTGCAGGAAAGATGTGGCTAGAGTATCCCCAGCTTTTCTTAGGGTGATATTGGGCACACAGGAATTGGGACAAATATCCCTGGCTGTGCAGGGAGCCTGAGAGTTGTGTGTCCCGCCAACAGGGTGCCAATAGGACCATTGCTCACTTTTGGGGAGGAGTTGAAGGGGCAGAAGAGAGCCAGGGAACCACAGCAGCCACCAGCCTAGGTGACAGCCGGCCTGAAACTCACCTTCAGGTGCGAGTTGAGCCGATGAGGATCCCGGTCATGACTTGAGTCCACATACTTCTCAGGATCTGCGTATTCGACACCACTGTGATGGCTGTAGGCGTCCTCAGCCATGAAGAGCTGCACATCGGCCTTCTCGGTCTCCAGCCCCATCGTGGCTGGCACTGCGAGAGCTGCTCGGGTCGGTCGGTTCCGTTCCCGTGGCGCCCCGCCCCGCCCCGCTCGCCTCGCCTAGGTCGCGCTGCCCGGGCGGTGGCCGCTTCCCGCTGCCGGTTCCCGCTCCCGGCCTTGGCTGGCCGAGCCCCGCCCTGCCCCGCCGGGCCTGCAGGGTGGGAGGGCACCTCTCCAGTAGTTTGCCAGAGCCCGAAGGAGCCTCAGCGTGGGGTAGCGGCGGCCCGATGAGTCATCTCCAGGCTCGGTGGAGCTGGGCAAAAACCGGCCTCCTGGGACACTTAGCTAGCAGTTCAGACATGGGTGTTTAAAGGCAAGCATAATGGCCAGGGAGATGTGTGAACTGGAGGGAGGGATCAAGGCGCTTGGGGGTTAAGAATAGGAAAGTCTGCGTTCATCCCCTGGTTCGTTTAATGTCTTTGGCACCTGCTCCTCAGAGCTAAGATGTTAATTCATGCAAAACTTTTACTTGGTCCCTAAGTCACAGTAGGCATCCAATCACAGCATCACTGCTGCATAGTGAGGCTAGGAGCCAAGCATTCTGATGGGAAGGTAAGGGACTCACCAGTACTTCAGTTTTTCCAGAGTTGGGTAGTGAGACTTGTTCTAGGAGTTTGAAGCATCATACCCCAAGGACAGGTCTGGTCTTTTCCCTCCAAACTACAACTCTCGATTTTCTCTTGAGTTGGGATTTTGTTTAAAGAGTTTTAGCAATACCCTCTTAGGAGCAACGTAAACAGAAGCATAAAACCATCATGTCATGTACATGGACCAGCCAGCTGATCATTCTCTCAAGAATTTTAGACGGGACGAGTTGGCATAAAGTTTGCTTTCTGGAAACAGGAATTTAGTGAATACAGATTTAGCACGATGCTTACAGCTTGCCCAGGGCCCAAGAGATAGTACCAAAGGGTAAGCATTGTCATGTACAGTAGGGTTTAGAACCATTTGCACATATCAAATCCGCTGTAGGAATTGGATGTGAAGGGTTCTTTGGAAAAGAAAACACTATATTGGGAATAATAAAAGTTACAAAAAGAAAACAAACAACAAGAGCAATGAAAAAATGGAGCTGAATGGGGAACATTTTGGAGCTAAAATTCTGTACTCTTAGAGGTCAATAAAAAGTGTATCTTCCGTACTGCAGTGTGTGGATGGCAGTGTGGCAGCAGTAGGGACAGTCACAGGGTCAAGTCCCAGGACCTGGAGGCCCATCCTCTATCTCACGTAGTCCTTTCACTCAAGTCTCGGGCTACCCCTGCTTATCCTTCCTGGTTTTGTTTAAGTTCTTTTGAATTCAAAGGGATGACACGGGCCTTACGCGTAATGAATGCCTTTCGGTACTTCATTCTACGGCCTTCATTCAAACAGGCTGCCTTTCTAAGTATGGGATAGGGTCTAGCTCAGTGGTTCTCAACAGGAGACCCTTTTACACGGGGAAACATATATTTACAGTAACAAATTGCAGTTATGAAGTAGCAGCAAAAACAGTTGTATGGCTGTGGGGTCACCACAACATGAGGAACTCTCTGTATTAAAGAGTCACAGCATTAGGAAGGTTGAGAACTATGGGTCTAGCTGCTGCCTCCAGAAGGCAGGAGCCTGCAGGGGAAGCCATTATGCTGGTTACAGGATATGGAAGAGATAGTTTACATCCAACTAATCTTTTGTAAAGCTCACATTTCCTCAAAACTGTACGATCGTTTATGAGAAGAAGAAACCCACATGGCTGCAGTCTGGGGGGTGGCTGAACATCTGGTGTTAGAGCTTCACCTCTTCCAAGTCTTTGGAGTACCTTTACATTTCAGAGCAGTTATTAGGGCAAATGACAGAACCATTGCAAATAACTGCTGAATTTTTCAGGCAGTGGAGACAGGAGGCCATTAAGAGATGAAACCGACTTGCCTTTTACTGGACAGTTTCAGTTATAGATTCATTTGTAAAAATTGTAGGCATTTATTTATTTATTTATTTATTTATTTAAAAAGATGTTCTGAAGCTGAAACTAAAAGTAGAAACTGTCTATATTTGGTGTATGCCATATAGAATTTAAGGGATGAAGACTCACGTGTTGACTTATTGAATATATCCCTCTACCACTGGTTGGAACTGGATGATACTCTGATTTTAATGACATTCTGGCCCATTTCACTATTTTAATCCAAGTTTTTTAAAGCATTGCTATAAAAATGATTTTGCATACCCTACTAGAATATTCTTAGACCATGACAGTTTACCATTGTCCTCAGGGGGATTAAACCAGCATGATTCCCATAGCAAAAATGGTTCTATCTGTGCTAACTTCAATAGATTTTTCCAAGGATGAAGAAAGTAAAGGAGATGCACCAGAGCTAAAAGGCCAAGTTCACAATCATATCTTCCAGATTACCCTCCCACGAGCCTCAAAAACATTCACTATAAAGAAAGGGACATAAAATTTCATATTAAACCCATGCTGGTGATTTCATTTTCTGGCTATCACAGGCCATGGTTTCTAATAAGATGATGTTTTAGATGGTATATTAAAATAATGGGGGAGTACAACTTGATTGTAGATTAGTATTTGTTAGTTAGGATTCTGTTCCTTCATTTTTCAATCACACTGTCTTAAGAAGTTCTCTTTTTGGCTTATTTCAATGTGTTTGTGAAAATGTATATGAATAAAAAGTTTTCCCTTTCATTTTTCCTCTCAGATCACACACATACCTTCCAGTGCATTTCTCACATACAGCTTTAATCATTGGTTATTTAGGGAGAGAACAATTTCATGATAATTAAATTGCTATGGTTAGAGGAGCCTTGCTCTATGTTATTGGCATATTCGGCCGGATCATCCTGTGCTATGAGGACTTGCCCCATGGACTGCACAATGTTTAGCAATATCCCTGGCTTCTCCTCACTAGCTGCAGATAATGTTGCCCAGACATGACAACCCCAAATATTTCCAGACATTGCCAAATGCCCCAGAGGACCCAAGTCACCTTTCCCCGCCTTTCCTGGACCCGAGAGTCTCTGATTTTGACACTATTGAATAATGTCACATGAATCAGGAAAATGGAGGCCTCACTGTGTATTAGTAAGCTCATGGTTAAGACAAAGTTTTGAAGTGCATTAATATCTTATCCCAAGCTCTGGTCCTTCATTGTGAAATAGCTTCATGTCTATAGAAAACTAAGTCCAACATAAGATTACATGTACAAATATAAAAAAAAAGTTAATCTTGGAGCTGGGCAGTGGTGGAGCATACCTTTAATCCCAGCACTGGGAGGCAGACGCAGGCAGCTCTCTTTGAATTCAAGGTCAGCCTGGTCTACAGAGTAAGTTCCAGGACAGCCAAGGCTACACAGGGAAACCCTGTCTTGAGAAAAAAAAAAAGTAAGTTAAGCTTAATGATTTTGTCTATTCTTTAATATTTTCAAAGTAATCGGTTATCAAAATTCCAATGTAATATCAGTTCTGCAGTTAGGGATATGCAGTTCCATCAGGAGACCCCCATGAAGCAACTTCCAAATCTTGTCTGTTTGCTAGACCTCCTATATTTTCTTCACAAAGACATGGGTTGTTTAGGTAATTATATCTTGAAAATCATGGATTAGAAGATGTCTTGATTCTTCATATTTCATCTTAAGATCACGAGAAATCAGAGATCTTGGGTAAATCCCACCTATTGAATAATTTCCCCAAGTTTTACATGACTTTAATTGAGGAATCTGTGTCCTTGTTAGAACAGTGAGACATCGGATGATCAGGTTTTCACTGTCACAGGGACAAAGCTTGACAAATTTGGAGACAATGTTGCTTCCTGTTTGAGCTGAATTCTTCATGGCACAGTGGACTTTGAATAAAGACTTATTCAAATAGTTCTCTACTTTTTTTCACACCTTTTCCTCTCTCCCTCACTTTACACTCTCCCTTCAACCATTCCCCCATCTCCTGACAATATACTGGACCCTGCCCGCTGCCTGAAGTTTAAAGGAGCAGATAAAAAGTGGGGGCCATTGAAGTTCTTCAATCACCACACTTGGCAAGAGGTGCCACATACTTAGTGGAAGTTTCCCCAATTTTCTTTTTCCTTGGATGCCATTTGTCTTTTTCTTCCTGTCCCAAGTAAATTAAGTTTTGCATCAGTGAACCAGGAATTTCTGGTTTAATATTAAGACACAGTAGCTTGTTTATTATTGGTGCCAGCTTAATTAATATTTTGTCTGTTTCAAAAGGGACCTCCTCTGCCCCAAAAATGTCATACACAAGAGCACTGAGAATTACGTTTTGTGTGGGAATGCCTGGGTCTGAGAAACAACAGGTGAAAGAGTGCATGCTTGAGAAGTCTGTACCACCGTTGATGGGGATAGAATGGGTCACTCTATTCTCATTCAGAACAATGCAAGATGATTAATTTTAGCATTCTTTCATCCTGTTTCCCATAAGTAAAGGATGTTCCTGTTTAGCCTTCTAAGGAGCTCATTGATTTCTGGAGCACTGTGTATATTAAACAGACATCTCGAAAGGATTTGGATGGTTTATCTTTCCGGGACATGAAGTGGGAACTCATTAACACTAAATTTAAGATCACTTTTAAGAAGCACAATTTCCTCTCTGCGTAGGTGGGACCCTGCCTTCTACAACACTATGGTGTTGCCTTTTCCCAAAATTAACAATGGATGATGAAGTTCTTTTCTTGATTTAGATTAATCACTTTTGTTATATTTAACTGTTAATTTTATACGTGAATGCCATGGCCTGTCTATGGAGGTCAAAGGACAATCTGAGGGGTTTGATTCTCTTCTTCCATGATGTACATTCCAGGGATGGAAATCTGATTGTTAGATTAGGTAACAAATGCCTTAAACCACAGAACCATCTACCAGTGCTTGACCTAAGTTTTCATTTTAGACAAATTATTATATCTCAGATTTTAGGCTTTGTGTTGTACAGTAATAATAATTTTCTTTGTGTGTGTAAGTGTGCATGTGTGTGCATGCGTGTGGTGCTGTATGCATGTCTGTGTGCAGGTAGGTACGCTTGACCCTGTGTGAACTTGTGGA